CTCACTTAAGCAGATGCCTCGATTCAAATGTAGTGTATTGGCCAGGGTGAGGTACTTCCTCGCCTACCTGTAGTGACTTTGTACAAAAGACGCAACGAGATAGCCACATAGCTAACGGTTTCCTTCCATTCGTTTGCTTTGACCCTTTCCATTTTGGTCAGCTAGTTCAGGTAGAGATTAGAATCCTTGAAATAAAGGGTAGCTCTGAATAACCTGGATCCATCATTGAGGTACTTAAGGTCCACAAGGTGTAATGCCAAGCTATCTGGACCTTCAGTAGGGACTTTGGTAGAATCCTTTTGCCTTAGAGGTTTTGTTTTGCGATAAGAAGGGGAAAAGTCGCCAAGGGCTGAATAGTTGGTTCTTAATGGAGACAGTGGGCCAGCCAAAGCTAAGGACTTACCTGTAACAGTGATAGGGATTATTACCTGTGATTCATAAATGTGCCTTTTTTCTTCTATCAAAGGTTCAAGATGAACTGTTGGTTCTTCACCATCTTGGGCCCACTCAGTGTGGTGAAAGGAGGGAGGAGTGATGCAGCTGATAGCCCTTTGGCTTGAGATTTTCTCTTTTGATCTTTGGTTGTAGCAATGGAAGACGCCATTGATAGAAGTTTGGGAAGAAATGGGTTTGTTGAAGAAAGATTGGAGTTGTTTTGGAAGAGGTGCGTAAGTGTTTTCTAAGAGTGAAAAGTTTAACATAATTTATGGGGGAATTATTTATAAGGAGTTTTGAAGTAATTAAAAGTCATTATTCATCATTGAGGGCTAGGAGTAGTGGGCCACGCAGCGTCCCAAGATTGAAGATGGGGGCGGTGAAAGTTATTTCCTAGACCCACAATATTCATAGGTCCTAAAAGAATGATGATGGTCTGAAGATTTTGTGAGAGTTCCAAGAAATTGCTCATAATGGCCCATGACGTCATGGAGATGTGTAAAGATAGTTGAACAGTTTTTCTTTCAAGTAATGGGTAGTCAATTGCATTGACACCTACGTGGAGGTTGAAAGATGGCGTCGAATTGAATGCTGTCAAAAAATGGTTCTTTTTCTTCAGCATGGTCGAAAAAGACATTTTTTTGGGGCAATTTGTTAGCTCACAAATTCGACACCCATACTAGAATAAAAATATTTGGATGAAATATTAAAATTTTAAAGAAATAGGGAAGACTTCGAGTGTGGAGACCTTCGAGCAGGATGGGTTATTCAAGCGCTTGGGACTTAGAGAAAATTTCCAAATATTGAGGAGAATACCTTCGACCGAAATGTTGGCTGAATATCAGTGTAGTTTTGAAATTTAAATAAAGGAGGGAGTAATTCTGCTTTCTCATGACTAAGCAAGACAAGTGGCGTTCATCTAGCAAGTGACTATTTGTCAGAGGCTGATGATTTTAGGAGGTTAATAGAAGTTATTTTTACTATTATAAATAAGAGTTCTAGCCATATAATTAAGGGTGTTGTAATTTACTATTTGTACAAGTCACTCCCAAATTTACTCAAAGTATCCGAGTGTAGAGAAACGAGTTCTAGGAGAATGTACGTTATATAAACACACAATCTTTACTTTCAATGAAATTTACTTTACTTGATTAACCTTAGAGAGTTTTTCTTTACTTTTCCTGCAGTCTACATCTTCCCTGCATTTTTCTTTACTTTGTTAAATACTTCTCAAAGTTCTTTACATCGTTTCCTGCAAATTTAGATCCTTTTTACTTCAGTCGAACATTGCCTTTACATTAAGCATTTTTCTCAAAACACTATCGAAGTGTGTAGTTTAGATAACTTCGTTCACATAAAAATTTAGCACATGTCCTAGGATCAATCTGATCAATCCTGTGAGTCACCAAAGTTAGATTTGGAAGATCAGCAGTTGTTTTTCCAATTTTCACGGAAAGCAGTACCACATGCATGAGTCTTGTTGCATTTTCATTTCTGTGACAATTTGGTGTAATTTATGATATTATGGCTTTTTGACGTTTCCTTGATGATTATGATGATGTTGAATACGAAAATGACGCTATTTTACTCACCCTGCCTGTTTGAATGTTGCCTCCACGTGGGTAACGCGCAGATGACCAGGTTTAGCCGTGGATGTCGTCGAGGACTTTTTGGAGTTATAAATTTTGGTTGACTTAGAGGGTCTCATTCTGATAGTGTAACATTAAGTTTGAGTCTTTGAGTTAAATCATGTTTTATTGATTATTGTTATTTTGATTATGTTGCTGCACAAGGAAGACTTTGGATTTTTCTTTTTTGAGTTCCGCTGCCTTTTGAGTAATTTTGGAAAAACCTGTTGTTTACGGAGAATTGACTTTTATTTGAGTTATTGAGAAATGTACACCCTTTGAGGTGATTTTTGTTGTGTTTAATATTTTACTCTGATATATGTGATTGATTTGCCATTATATTTATGGGGTAGAAAAGGGTGTTACATCTTCAGTTGACCAAACCTCATGACAACGGAGAAAAAGGGCAACCTAGTACTATAAAGCAGTCTTCCTAACAGGTTATCGTCCTAATACTTTATAATGTATATTTATATAACCATGATTTTTAAGTATGCAAGTTTTAAAACAAAACAAATAACGTCAAACACTTTACCGATGTTCGGCTTCCATCAAGCATGTAAGAGGAAACATCCCTGGTTGCAACTTTTGTTGCTGATTGAACTCTAATTAAAATACAATCAGTCTCAAACCTCGGTAAACATGATAAAGGAAAAATATTAATGAACAAAACATTCAAGCTTAAACGCAACTACAATTTAACATGATACCTTCTAAAAATGCAGCAACTACAAGAGGTCGCAATCCCGTGTCATTAATTGAGCATGATACCTTCTTAAAATAAAGTGTGCACTGATTGTTTCACAATAGAAGGCAATGTTAATAATATATCCACTTGTTAAATAGTATTGACAGATTTCCTTTCAATAATGGATCTAGAAACATCAAACATTTTCCAAGCCAAGTCCAAGTCAAACTCATATTTGTCACTTTCTGCTGAGCTTTCAGTATCACTATCCTCATCATCTTGCAGGCCGTTCTTAACAAACACTGTTTCACATTTCAAAGGAACACGACTAACAATGAGAAATTGTTTTATATGCAGACTACAACTTCAGTGATTATGAAATCATAAATTTAACAAGAAATGTGTATGAAAATAATGCACTTAATCTACAATCAAACAATGATCTTTGCTAGCTATAAAAAACAATATCGTGAAACACTTTCACTTATTTGCAATGAATGATGAGTGTAAGGTACTAAAATTCAGACTACAACAACACATTAATATCATACATGCTTTGAAGAACAAATTTAGTAAAATATTCTCATTCCTTGTGAAGCAACCAAAAAACACCAGAAGTAATGTACTGACCTTTATCGACTTCTAACTCCTAGTTATTTAAAGTCACATCCTGCTCAACATTGGTTGGAAAAGATGCAGTGGAGGATTCAACATTCACAGCACTCTTCAGGTCCTTCTGCAATTACATAAATTGTATTCACTCCTGAAGAAAAAAAACAAAAAATCCAAACAAATCATAAGATATATTGATAAACTATTCACAGATCCTTCTGCAAAATATGAATATCATTATCATCTACAATGTCTTCAGCACCACAAGTATTAATATATAAAGAACACAAGCCGTTTTCAAATTTCTTGGAGAAACAAAGCAAAAAAAACTTAAATCAAGAGCCAATACTCTAAACAGAAAAAGCAAAGAGCTACAAAAATAAATCTAACACAAAAATAATAGACAAACATAAAAGGGAATATTAACACAAAATTAAAACAACATAGATAATAACCCTAAAGCTTGAACAAAACGAAAAAGAAAAAGAAAACGAATGAAAAATAACATTAACATTTAAGAGATGAATATACTTGAGAAGATATCAAAAGATCTTCAATCTTGATGAAGGAAAAGAGGTAATCGACAAAAAACAAAAGAGAGAGCACAGAGGAAATCGACCATGTGCATGAACGCGACCATCAATGGGTATGAGGATTCGGCGGTACTAGAGTTTGACGAATGAATATATATATATATATATATATATATATATATATATATATATATATATATATATATATATATATATATATATATATATATATATATATATATATATATATATATATATATATATATATATATATATATATATATATATATATATATATATATATATATATATATATAGATATAGATAGAGAGAGAGAGAAGTGTAAAAGAATATGCAAGTTTTTTGAAAAAAGAAAGAGAGGGAGAGATGTAATTGCCATTTGGCAAAATCTTTGCTTTTTATTGGACAATGAAATATATATTTAGTCAATTACATAAAAGACATAGAGTAAATGAAATTTGAGTTAAAGGGTAATATAAGATTTTTAGTGTCATGTTCCAATCTTAGGTAAAAAGTTGATAACTTACTTAATTACAACAATCTCCCGGTAACATGATAATAAGTAAGTCCATTCTACTCATACAATATTCTTTTAAGAGTTTTTCAACGATTTTTTCTAGAAAAAATGAATGATGTACCGACAATATAAATTAAATTTATTCTATTAATCAATAACGATTATGTATCTCACTAAATCAGATTAAAAATTTTAAGTTACTTATGTAATTTATAGAGTGATATATTTTCATCAAATAATAATGCAAAAAAAATTTCCATTTTAAGTGCATGTTCATTAAACTCTTTCCTCTAATTAATAAAATGTTTTTTTAGGGTAAAAAATCTTAATATTTAGGATGATGGTTTGAATATTTAAGCCTATAATCAATTACCAACCACATACAATAATTATATGGTGGACTTTATAAATAAATAAAACTATCATAGCAAATCCAATGATTGAGATCACCAGCTATTACTCTCAGGAAATTCATTTCCTTATCTAATGCAATGGTAACAAAAAATTTATTCATTAACCGAAAATGTCACAGAAAGTAAAGTATTACACAAATTCATCAAAAGAAGCTAATTCAATAAACCAACAAAAGTAAATCCAAGGAATAAAGAGGTAAGAAAACCAGAGCTAGGCCCAACAAGTTTGAAGCTCCCACTATCACCAAAGTTTGCACTGTCTTTGATAGCATTGGCGCTGTAGAGTTGTTGGATGGTTTTGTTATCAGAATCTGTTATCTGCACCTTCCTTTGTTGTGATGGCAAGATTGCTGGATACATAATTGACTCATTATGGGAAGAATGATCAAGTCCAAGCAAATGACCTATTTGATGCATTGCCACACTCTCCAAGTCAAAGTCTCCTAACCACCACAACAAAGTGTCGTTGTCAGTTGGCAACTTCCAATTCTTCGTACCTTGGAGACGCATCATACCGGACATAACCTTTGAATCAACATTCAAACTAATAAATGTATCAGCCACTACAAGCCTATCAACCACATTGTCGTAATCAATAAAGTAGAATCCAATCTTAATGTCAGCATCATCGTATGCTGTCTCGTTGAATTTCATGATTCTAGTGGTCATCGACCATCGCGCGAAGGCATTTCTAAACGCGCTGGTCATGTAGATTGAGATTTCACTTTCGGGATTAAAACCATAGGTGAGAGTTTTCGTGCCCTTGGGAAACCACTTGTTTCCTTTCGGCTGCGATGTATTAGTTGCATCATTAAAGCCATACTCGAAATTCATATCGGGAACACCACATCGTGGTAATGATATTTGTTGCAAAGTCTCGGTATTTAGTTCACCAGTAACTTGGAGATTGAAAAATTGTTGGTAGGTTTTAATAGCGGATATTGTATCTTTGTCTATAACTTCGTCGAAGTAGTCCTTCGATTCTTTGATGTAGCCAAAATCGTACAGATATTGTTTGATTTGAGATACGACGGTAATCTCTGGTGTTATCTGTTGGTAGGTTGTATTGAGAATGGTAAGGAGAAGGAATAAGGAGAATTCAAATTGATATAACTTCATCATGTTAATTAATGCATAGACAAAATTGGGAGTGTATATGTAGATGAACTTCAGAAGAATAAACATTGAAGTTGGTAGTTTAGATATCAATGTCTGTTTGTAATTTTATTTCACTTTCCATAATGACTGGTGATTGTTGTTTCTTAGTCAACAGTTAGAGGTTAGTAAATGTGACATTTATTGACTTTGTTTTACAAACTACTATATGGTTTCAAATATGTTAAAGAACAAGTGATCCTTGAAACACACATACAACTGTCAATGAAATCTAGTAACAAACAGACAATTTGAACGTTTGCCTCTTGTGACGTTCAAAGCGAAAAAAGCAAATATAAAAGCGATAACTAGCTATGTAGTTTTACGTTTTTATTCACATGATTCTAATTTGTGATTGTGGGGCAGCGATACTAGTTGGAGTGTAAAACTTAACTATCGTTATTAGAGGTGTAATCGATTCGGTTTGAATTAATTTTTAATAAAAAAATTGAACTGATGATATTTGTGAAATGTTGGATCGAATTTTAATATAGTTAAAGAGTAGTTTCTGGTTCGACAGGAATTAAGCATGAGGTTGAAGTCTGTTTTCATGTTGTTGTCGAAGTAATGCGTGTTGTAGTTGAAGTTTGTTCTAATATGCATTAGTCAATATTGATAAGATTGTTAGTATGTTGAATTGGGTCTTACTTGTAAGTCCAATTATTTAAGTTAGCTTGTACCCTAAGTTAGTTTGTAATGAGTAATTGTTAAAAATCCCATTAGGTTAGTGTGTTATTTTTCTTATAAATAGGATGCTAGTTTCTCAATCTTGACATAAGAAAAAATAGGAAGATGAAATCATAATTTCAAGAGAGAGATGTTATTTTGTTATTTTTGTATACTTGTAATCTTTTTCTAAGAAACATAAATCTTATAGTGGCGAAACATCTGTTATTCGATGTTATTACTGTAAGAAGGAGGGTCACACAAAAAAGGTGTTCCTTGAACGCCTGAAAATCATGGAGGTAATGGCAACACAACCATTGTTCAAGATGACTTTGACTCATCTGATGTTCTTGTGGTTTCAAGTGGCAACTCGAGAAAATAGTGAATTAAGGATTCAGGTTTCACTTGGCACATGACTCCAAACAGAGAATTGTTTGAGGAGCTATGTGATCAAGATGATGGATTTGTGTTGCTGTGAAACAACAAATCTTGCAAAATTACAGGTATTGGATCTGTGAGATTCAAGCTCCACGATAAGTCAATAAGGTTATTGACTGAAGTCAAGTATGTACTTGACTTGAAGAGAAATTTGATTTCTCTTGGTGAACTCGACAGAAAGGGATACGTTTTTTAAGGAGAGAAAAGTATCCTAAGAGTCATGAAGGGGTCGAAGGAAGTATTGAGAGGCGTGAAGAAACAAGGATTGTATACCCTTGAGGGTGAGGTTGTAAGTGGTTTGACAAATGTTGCATCCATGAAACCTGTGTCGAAGACATAATTATGGCACATGCGATTGGGCCATGTCAGCGAAAGAGGCCTGGTTGAATTGGGGAAGCATAACCGGCTAGGAGGTGACAAAGTCGAAAAGTTGGAGTTATGTGAATCTTGTGTATTTGGTAAATCCTGTAGCGCGAAGTTTAACAAAGGCAAGCAAAGAATACATGGAACCCTGGATTACATTCATGCTGATCTTTGAGGGCCTGCAAGGAATCCTTCACACTCAGGTGCAAGGTATTTTATATCCATCTTTGATGACTATTCTAGAAAGCTATGTGTATTCATTCAAAAGACGAAGGATGAAACTTTTGATAATTTTAAAAGTTGGAAGATTCTGGTCGAATCTCAAACTGGCAGAAAGGTTAAGAGGTTGAGAACCGACAATGGCCTTGAATTCTGCAACAAAGTATTCGACAGTTACTGTGTTGAGTCTGGGATTGTAAGGCATAAGACTGTAGTATGTACTTCTTAACAAAATGGCTTAGATGAGAGATTTAATCGAACAATCCTTGAAAGGATTAGATGCATGCTGGTTAGTGCTGGATTGAAGAAGATATTTTGGGCGGACGCTGTTTCGATAGCAGCTTACCTGATAAATAGATGTTCCTCGACTGCCTTGGGAATAAAGACACCTGAAGAAGTTTTGTTAAAACATCCACCTAGTCTCAGCAAACTGGGAGTATTTGGCTGCGTGCCCTATGCTCATATTAGGAAAGACAAGGTCAAACCCAAAGCTCTGAAATGTATGTTCATGGGATACTCTAAAGAAGACAAAGCTTATAGGCTATGGTGCCTAGAGCCAGGCCACAAGAGGTGTATCACCAGTCGAGATATAGTTTTCAAGGAATCAGAGATAGCTTTCAAGAGAACTGATAATGCTAACGAAGAGCTGAAACATGGAGAGATTCATGTTGAGCTGGAGGATGTTGATGCTGAATTTTGTACCCCAGATGAAGTTGAAAAAGACGCAGAAGATGTTGTCGAAGATGAAGAGACTGATAATGAATACCTACTAGCAAGAGACAGTAAAAGAGATTCATCAAGCCACCTCAAAGACGTGGGTATGCAAATCTTATAGCTTATGCCTTAATCTTGACAAGTGAGGTTCTAGACGAAGAACCTAGAGACTACAAGGAAGTTGTGAGGAGTCGAAAGAAGACTGAATGGCTAAAGGCCATGGATCATGAGATGAAATCTCTTCATGATAACAATACCTGGGAACTGATCAAGAAACCTGCTGGAGCCAGGTTATTCAACTGTAAATGGATTTTCAAAGTTAAGGAAGGAATCGAAGAAGTGACGTCGAAGAGATATAAGGAAAGATTGGTTGCTAGGGGTTCACTCAGAAAGAGTGTATCGACTTCAATGATGTGTTGTCTCCTGTTGTGAAGCACAAATCCATTCGAATGTTGCTTCCCACAGTGGCACAATTCGATCTTGAACTGGAACAGATGGATGTGAAGACTGCGTTCTTGTATGGTGACTTAGATGAATCAATCCTGATGAGGCAACCTGAAGGGTATATCGAAAAAGGGAAGGAGCTTATGTTTGCAAGATGAATAGATCCTTATATGGAATGAAACAATCTCCTCGGCAGTGGCATAGGATATTCGACAAGTTCATGGCACGCATAGGTTTCATCAGAAGTCAGTTCGACCACTGTGTTTACTTCAGATTTCGACCGGGTAATTCATTTGTTATTTTGTTGCTCTATGTGAATGATATTGTAATAGCAAGCAACAATGTCGAAGAGGTAATGAGGATGAGGGATGAACTCAATAAGGAGTTCGACATGAAAGATCTGGGAGCTGCGTCCAGGATTCTTGAGATTAACATCCGAATAGATAAAAAGTAGTCGAGATTATGCTTATATCAAGAGGCATACCTATGGAAGATTCTCAAAAAGTATGGTATGTCGAATTTAAAGCTTGTTGTGACTCCGACAAACCCATAATTCAATCTGAGTATAGATCAGTGTCTCAGCACTGATGTTGAAAGAACTTATGTGAATAGCATTCCTTATGCTAATATAGTGGGTTCTTTGATGTATTTTATGGTCTGTGCTAGACCCGACATAGCATATGCAATAAGTCTTGTAAGCAGGTACATAGTGAATCCTAGAAAGACTCATTGGAAAGCATTGAAGTGGATTCTAAGGTGCATAAATGGGTCTCTGAATAGAGTCATAATTTATGGTGGAGCCTTGGGAGAAGACACTAAAGCAGTAATCGAAGGATATGTCGACTCTGATTATGCGGGTTGTATGGACTCCGGAAAGTCTATTTCTGGATATTTCATCACTATGTTTGGGACAAAAATCAGTTGGAAAGCAACACTTTAGAAGGTCGTTGCCTTATCAACCACTGAAGCGGAGTATATTGCTCTAACTGAAGTTGTGAAGGAAGCATTGTGGCTTGAAGGTTTTGTAAAAGAGCTGAAACTTCAAGGTCGAGTTATCACTGTTAAATGTGATAGTCAAAGTGCAATACACCTGTCGAAGAATTCATCCTATCATGAGCGAACCAAGCACATTGATGTGGGGATACATTTCATTAGAGGGGTAATCGAGCATGGAGGCCCAAGTGCTGAAGGTTTCAACAGATCATGATGCTGCTGATATGATCACCAAGATGTTGCCCAGTTGCAAGTTTTTCCACTGTATGCAGTTGATAAAGCTGTATGAAGAAAGCTAGTTCCTTAATGTTATATAGTTAGATCCAAGGTTCATATTTGTGAGATGTTTGATCAAACTCTAGTATGGTCGAAGGGTAGCTTCTGGTTCGATAGGAATTAAGTATGAGGTATAAGTCTGTTCGCACGTTGTTGTCGAAGTAATGTGTGTTGTAGTCGAAGTTTGTTCTAACATGCATTAGCCAATATTGATAGGGTTGTTAGTATGTTGCATTGGGCCTTGCTTGTAAGCCCAATTTTTTAAGTTATCTTGTACCCTAAGTTAGCTTATAATGGGTAATTGTTAAAAAGTCCATTAGGTTAGTGTGCTATTTTTCTTATAAATAGGATGCTAGTTTCTCAATCTTGGCATAAATAAAAATAGGAAGATAAAATCCTAATTTCAAGAGAGAGAGGTTATTTTCTTATTTTTGTATACTTGTAATCTTGTTCTAAGAGAAAGGAAAGGATAACTGTTTATAACCAATCCTTGATGTTCCTTGTTATCTTACCTTGTCTTCTTTGTTAACCCTAACCCTTGTGTGTTTCTTGATCATTAAGAAATCATTTTATATTTTGTTTAAAGGTATCTGATTCACAATAATATCTCTATTAATTTGATTTGGTTTGATTTTTAATATTTTTTAAAATGAAACTGAACTAAACTAAACAGTTTGGTTCAGTTTTGTTTGGTTTGATTGATCATTTTCAATTTTGTTTAAACATTATATTCATTAGTATATTCTCCATTTTTGTGTTTTTTAAGTGTATGCAGACAAATGTTGGGACTAAGGAAAATATAACAATTGATGTCTAAGGAAAAATAATTTTAATTACCGGAAGAAAATCACTCA